CCGGGTAGTCAGCTGGATCGTGTGCTCTAAACAGTCCATTCCCGTGTGGAGCAGTGTGGTAGGCACTTCATCCTATGCCCAGCGCTGGTAGGATCAGCAGGCTGTTGCTATTCTTCTTGTCATAGCGGTCGCAGGGTCTGGTGTCTCCCTTTCGAGGTTGAGCTCCGGGACATCGCTTCGTGGTGTGCAGGTTCCCCTTCACTTGTGTTGCAGTATTGGTTGAGGAGTAGCGCTTGGTGCTGTGCTGGTAGCCGGGATTTAGGTCAGGTAATTTAGTAGTGTGCATCATTGTTGGATTGGAGATCTCGGCTTTGCTTGTGGGCGGGTGAGAGCGTGTGTCCGAGAGGCCTGGCGCTGGGTCCCGTCTCGATGCCCTTCGGTATCGATTTTGCCTGATGGCCATCTTGGATGCATGGGGTACCTGTATGTAGTGCCTGCGTCGTGCTGTTGGTCGCAACCATGAGGCCACCTTCCGGTCAGCTTGGCGGTGAGTTGCTCCCCGGTTTCGCAGTGCTGCCCTGAGACCAGCGCAGGTCCGGTCAAATATTGTTATAGGGGACATATGTGCCCTTGTGCAGGTGCTCCGCCTGCTCGGTTCAGGTTGGTCGGCCATTTTGGCTGTACCTCTTCGGTCTGTTGCCCCACCATTTGTTGTGGTTGGTGTGGTCTTGTTCCATGCTGGTCCGTATGTGCTTCGGTGACCGGAATGTCCCCCACCGGTCCATGGGGTGGGGGGATATGCTGAGGTGTAGTTGCTTGTGGGTTCTTGCGCCAAGGGGAGCGGCCGCCTCCCCCCTGCTTCAGCCCCAGTAGGCCGAAGGATATCCGCTTTCCCGGCGTCGACAGGCACCGGGGTGGTGTCGGTTTACTCAGTGGGGCACCCCCAACGTGGTTAGTGCACCCTCCGATGCTTGTGGGTTTGTTAGCAGTCGCTTGTACCCCGGGTTCTGCCCGCCGGATCGGCGCTCGTGGTAGATGCGACCGCACGGCTCGGCGGTCAAGCTCCGCCCCCCTCTGGGTTCATATTTAAGGCCACAATAGCTGAGTGGAGAAAGTTTTTCCAAGTCAACTACGCTCATCAGCCACAACATTAAAACTACCTGCCAGATATATAGGTCCCCAAAACAGCTCTGATGCGTCGAGGCATGGACTCCACAAGGTCTCTGACTATGTCCTGTGGTTTCTGGCATATTAGTAGATATTAGTAGCAGATCTTTTAAGTCCTGCAAGTTGCAAGGTGGATTTGTTGTTCCAGCACATCCCACAGATGCTCTTATAGATTAAGATATGGGGAATTTGGAGGCCAAGACAACACCATGAACTTTTTGTCATGTTCCTTTAAACCATTCCTAAATTTTTGCAGTGTGGTAGTGTTCATTATCCTGCTGTAAGAGGCCTCTGCAATGTACTTTGTGTTATGACATCTTTCTATCATGGCCAGCATTTAGTTTTTTTCAGCAGTTTGAAGTACAATAGTTTTCACTGTGATTAGACCAGCCTTTTTTTCCCCCACGTGCAGCAATGAGCTTTAGACCCCCATGACCCTGACTCCGGTTCCTCGGTTGTCCTTCCTTGCACCACTTTTGGTAGGTACTAACCATTGCATACCTACAAAACGGTACAAGACTTGCCATTTTGGAGATGTTCTGACCCAGTTGTCTAGCCATCACTTTCTGGCCCTTGTCAAAGTCACTCAGATCTTTTCGCTTGGCCATTTCTCCTGCTTCCAACATGAAATTCAATAACTGTCTGTTCACTTGCTGCC